TACAAGATGTCACTTAAGATACAATTCTGTGGAGTGAGTAGACAAACACAATTTTACCAAATTCACCTGCTGTGGCATAACGTAAGGGTTTTTTTTGATGTTTACTTTCAAATCCAAGTTGGAAGGCAGAACTTGACCTTCAATTGGCATTAGCCAGTCATTCAAAGCAAGAGACTTATTTTTTTGTCTTGTGTTGAAGGCAGGTTAGAAAATTACAGGCTTATCCTGTTACGAAGAGTGAAAAAATACCAAAAAGCCCCTGAAAACCCCCAAAATAGAGCATTTGTGTGATCCAAGACTCTCCCATGGTGCAGAGGCACCTGGGGCCAGCATTACTTGGCACAGTCCTGTCACAGGTACAGCAATTCTTGCAGGAAAAGTATTCAAGCAACAAGGAACTCTAGGTCTAAACTTAATTTAAGGAGCAATAAAGAAATAAAGACAGAAGTTATTTAGATCGAGCTATCTAAATTAGATCAGTTATTGCAATAATTATTTTTGGGGTTTTTTTTCATCTTACAGGATAGGTTCTTAGACTCACAGTTTTCCAAAGAAAGAACCAAACGCTGTACCTAATGATGGGCTTTTTTAGATTCAGTATCAGCCATTCAGGAGGAAGCCTCTAACCCAAAACAACAGTAACAACAATCTTCTAAAATACTTCTAGTTTCCTCAGTAAGAGGAAAGCTTTATTTCAGAAAGTATACTTGTTCTGGTTGGAAAACACATTCCCACATTTATTTTTGGAGGACAGATGCAGATTTGTCTTTTTAAATGAAAACTATACAGACTGCTCTAGTAGTTCTTTAATTTTCTATGTAAGACCATTGAGAACAAGCGATCTACTCCACAGCACCCAAAAATGTTTTATATTGACTTATTCAGGTGGATACTGTAACTTGTAAAAAGTTTCGTAAAATCAGCAATACCCAACTGAGTAGCAAAAATTGAATAAAGGAACATTTTGAGAATTATGTTTCATCTGTTGTTTGATCCTTTTGTTTTGTTTTCTAATGCATGCCATACGGAAAACTTACTGAAACGGTGCCCTTGATCATGACAAAATGTAGCTTGGATTACACAGACTAGGAGAAATAACAGAATCTCATAAAACTGGCCAAGATGGATTCAGACACTATAGCAAATTCTAGCCAAATTTTGTACACTTCAGCCAAGAATTAATCAATGCTGCAGGACTGTAGGTAACATATTGCCTAAGCAAGGCATTGAACTGACAATCATTAGGTCTGAATTTTTTTCTGCTGATGTCAGTTGACCAGTGTATGATCTTAAACAGAAATTTTAACTTCTCTTACTTTGGCTAATTGAGTTTTTCATATAACGACAACTCTTTTAGACAGGGACAATCTTATAGTGCAGTTGTAACATTTGGTGTAGTGGAACCCCAATCTCAAGGCAGTCTCATAGACGCTGCAACAGAATATTCTTGACACATTCCAAAATTGAATTTAATCCAAGGCAACAGAAATACCACACCAAAAATACGCCTTCTCTCTGAAAAATGGCCTCCAGTCAGAAAAGCAAAGTTGGACTCAGGTGCTCTCAAGTGCTTGATGAAAAAGTAAACTGTTGAGTTATGAAATAAAGTAGGAGAACAAAGGCTCAGTTGCACAGGAATGAGGCTTACCTAACAAATAATACCTATGAAATGGGAAAGAAAAAATTTGAAGTCTGATGCATAGAAGTCTGAAAAGACAATAAAGAGGTCTTCAAAAAGAGAGCTCACAAGGGAAAAAATGAAGGGTGGAAAATTCAAAGGTTCAAGTAGGGATCAGATACAGAAACCCTTAAATAAGGATGGGCCCAATACTTCAGGGTCATCAGGGCTGTAACCTGCTATATATAATCAGTCTTCTGTGTAAAGGAAGTAGGAAGCCAAGTAGTAAGTGATACTGATATGCCAGATCCACATATACAAGGAAAAAAGACTAAACAGTTTGTGTTACTACATTGTCAGGGGGTTTCCAAGAAAACTGGATGTAAACCTGCATTTACCTCTCCTGTAAAATTCTGTGCCTAGCTCTTCACTTTCTTTCACATTTCTTCACATAACCCTTGTACTTCTCATCAGGGCACTCTCAAGATGCTCTTAAGTTTAACCCTGCTCCTCGACTTAGTCGCCTCTCTCTGCTATTGAAATGACTTAGTTTGCATCAGATAAAGACCATTCTTCAGAAGAGAAGCCACGGGCTGCTGTAGCTGACTGCATTGCAAGACTGGGTTATTCACAAAAGTATGTCCTTATTGTGAATAACCCAGTCTTGCAATGAAATCACCTAGAGCAGACCCCTGGGCACCGAGATGCACAGAGCCAGAAACACAAATAAGACTTTACTGATGTATATTGATAGAGTATTAAGGTCTACAGAAACTACAGAAGAATAAAATAGTGTTAAGGAAAATTTCCTAGAACTTAAATGAGTCAATCGCACACAGCTTTAAAGAGCATTAGTTTATTATCTATTCTCCATGTGTTACCTCAGCAACGGTCTAATTATATACAAAAATTTGGAATGTTGAATAAATGCTGATCAATAAAAACATTTTGTAGCTGTTGACAAGGGAATATTTCTAAACAAAACCAAAATAATCATAAAGGTTTGATTCTGTGTGTTGCTTATTGCTATGTTTGTGTTCATAGAATGCTTTCAATTATATACACATTTTTTTTAAAATCTAGTCCAAAAAAGACACTAAAAAATATTTACATAATAAATATGTGGGAGACTTCATCTTTTCATTACATCAGTTGAACTGATTCTTTAATGAACTATTAAGAATAGAAAGAACTGACGACAGAGTTTGCATCAACTCATTGCCATGCTGAGTAACTTAGGCTGCTGATGGATTTTATTCTATTCAAAATGTAATTTAAGATGCACTCAAAATGAAAAGTGCTGATATTGTCTCTCCTCCTGCTGCA